AAACTCCTGACTGCAGGTGATCCTGCCCACCTTGGCTTCCCAAAGTGCTAGGATTACAGGCGTGAGCCACCATGCCTGGCCCATTTCTTATAGTGCTTATTGCTTACTGCTTTGTGTTAAACTACTTAAATACAAATCATGTTTTCTACATTAGATTTTTTTTGAGATGGAGTCTTGCTCCGTTGCCCAGGCTGGATGGCAGTGGTGCAATCTCAGCTCACTGCATGCAATCTCTGCCTCCCAGGTTCAATCAATTCTTGTGCCTTAGCCACCTGAGTAGCTGGAACTACAGGCATGTGCCACCACATCTGGCTAATTTTTGTATTTTTAGTTGAGGCACGGTTTTCCCATGTTGGCCAGCCTGGTCTCGAACTCCTGAGCTCAAGTGATTCACCCGCCTCAGCCTTCCAAAGTGCTGGGATTACAGTCATGAGCCACTGTACTTGGCTCTACATTAGATTTTAAGTTTAGATCTAATTAGATTTTAACAATAGAAAATGAATCCATTCATTTCCATGTCTTCATAGGACTTAACATAGCAGCTTACAGGTAGATGGGAGGAGTTCAACAAGTAGTTGTTGGTTGAAATGGGCAAATAAGTGACAGAATTAAAGCTTTTTAAAAATCTCCTTCTGCCGGGTACGGTAGCTCATGGCTATAATCCCAGCACTTTGCGAGGCTGAGGTGGGAAGATTGCTTGAGTCCAGGAGTTCAAGACCAGCCTGGACAACATAGTGAGACTCCATCTCTAAAAAAACCTAAAATTTAAAAATGGAAAACTTTTTTGGCTGAGTGCAGTGGCTCACGCCTGTCATCCCAGCACTCTGGGAGGCCAGGCGGATGGATCACTTGAGGTCAGGAATTTGAGACCAGCCTGGCCAACATGGTGAAACCCCATCTCTACTAAAAATACAAAAAAAAAAATTAGCCAGGCGTGGTGACACACCCCTGTAATCTCAACTGCTTGGGAGGCTGAGGCACAGGAATCGCTTGAACCTGGGAGGCAGAGGTTGCAATGAGCCGAGATCATGCCACTGTGCTGCAGCCTGGGTGACAGAGCTAGACTCCATTTAAAAAAAAAAAATTTTTTTTTTCATCTAATACTGCACCCAAACTGATTCTTGTATCTTGTCTTCCAGTCTCATTTAGAAATCTAGGCAGTGACTCATGTCTATAATCCCACACTTTGGATGGCCAAGGAGGGGGGATTGTTTGAGGCCAGCTTGGACAACATGGCAAGACCCCCCCCATCTCTACAAAATAAATTAACTGGGTGTGGTGGCATGTGCCTGTAATCCTAACTATTTCTGAGGCTGAGGTGGGAGGAGCACTTGAACTTAGGAGTTGCAGGCTGCAGTGAGCCATGATTGTGTGTGCCACTGTACTCCAGCCTGGGCAACAGCTTGAGACCTTATTTCAAAAAAAAAAAAAGAAATACATGAGAATTGACTCCCACATACCTTTCTCTTATACCAGTTTAATACTTTGAGTTGTCATAATGCTAAATCTCCAAATCTGATTTTTCTTACCCTCATCAATCCAGTCTAAGGGAAGCCTGGAGATAACAGAGAGCCAGTCTGCAGATGCTGAACCTCCACCTCCTCCTAAGCCAGACCTGAGCCGTTACACGGGGCTGCGAACACATCTTGGCCTGGCCACTAATGAGGGTAAGGGCTGCCTTGATTTGCAAGATACTAGAACTAGAGGCAGGATTGAGGTTACTTATTAGCTGTAGAGGACATGCCAGGGCTGGGAGATAACACTCGTGTTGTGGAAAAACACCTTACAGTTGGTACTTGTGCCACTCTGCAGCTGGAAAAGAAGAGATGCCATTTAGCTATTGGCAGTAAATGGGACTTTTGCTGGGGAAATGGTCAGCCTCTAGGCAGAGCAGAGAACATCACAGGACCTTTTTGGCGCATTTACCTACCCTGAGTTCTGGGCTGGTGTGAGTCTTTAGTCTTGATTTCAGCAAAGGGTATATCTGTGCCTGCCTTGTCTTCTCCCTGTACTTAAAGAAACCTAGGCAGTAAAGTGAACAACTCATAGGCTAGATGTAGTGGCTCACACCTGTGATCTCAGCACTTTGGGAGGCCAATGCAGAAGGATCGCTTGAACCCAGAAGTTCAAGACCACCCCAGGCAATGTAGCAAGACCCTGCCTTTACAAAAGAAAAAAAAAAATTAGCTGGGCATGGTGGCAGATGCGAAGTCCCAGCTACTCAGGAGACTTAGGTAGGCTCCCAGGAGTTTAAGGCTCCATTGAGCTATAGTCATGCCACTGCACTCCAGCATTGGTAGTAGAGTGAGACCCTGTCTCTTAAACCAAAAAAACCTCTTGTAAAGTAGTGCTGCCCTGGCCTTTTTTCTTGCAGATAGCAGCTTATTGGGCAAGGACAGCCCCCCGACACCTACCATGTACAAGTATCGGCCGGGTTACAGTAGCAGCAGTACATCAGCTGCCATGCCGCATTCCTCCAGCGCCAAGGTAATGAGTAGTCTTAAAGAGGTGGGCAATAACATGACAACTGGCCAGGCACGATGGCTTACACCTGTAATCCCAGTACTTTGGGAGGCCGAGGCAGGAGAATCATGAGGTCAAGAAATTGAGACCATCCTGGCCAACAAGGTGAAACCCCGTCTCTACTAAAAATATAAAAATTAGCTGGGCGTGGTGGCAGGTACCTGTAGTCCCAGCTACTCAGGAGGCTGAGGCGGGAGAATCGCTTGAATCTGGGAGCCAGAGGTTGCAGTGAGCCGAGATCACGCCGCTGCACTCCGGCCTGGCAACAGAGCAAGACTCCATCTCAGAAAAAAAAACAAAAAACAAAAATATGCCAACTGTTCTGGGGAAAAACAAGATTGGGGGAGGAAAAGGCAGAATGGAAGAGAAGAAAACAAAGGATATTTGACTGTTGGCATTTGTGGAACTGAATTGCCTCGATAGTACGTCTTTTATCAGACTGGGATATATAGCATAATAGAGTTGTGTTTGATCTGAGTTTACAACTCAGTTCGGCCCACGAGCAAGATACTCAGCTTTTCTAAGCCTTGTTCTCTGCATCTGAAAATGAGATGAAATTTGTTTAAACTCAGTTTTTCTTTAGGGATTAACCTAGATAATGCATGTAAGAGTTCTAAGCATAGTATTGACACAGAATAAATACTGTTTTTGACCAACTCCTTGGACTCTGGGGTCTAGCTTCTGTCACAAGAGGAGCACTAAGAGTCTGCTTTACTTTCTTCCTCAGTTGAGTCGTGGGGACAGCTTGAAGGAGCCAACCTCAATTGCAGAGAGCAGCCGTCAACCCAGCTACCGCTCAGAGCCCAGCTTGGAACCAGAGAGCTTCCGTTCTCCTACCTTTGGCAAAAGTTTTCACTTCGATCCACTATCCAGTGGTTCACGCTCCTCCAGCCTCAAGTCAGCGCAGGGCACAGGCTTTGAGCTGGGCCAACTGCAGTCCATTCGTTCAGAGGGCACCACCTCCACTTCCTATAAGAGCCTGGCCAACCAGACACGCAATGGAAGCCTATCTTATGACAGCTTGCTCACACCTTCAGACAGCCCTGATTTTGAGTCAGTGCAGGCAGGGCCTGAGCCAGACCCACCTTTAGGCTATACCTCTCCCTTCCTGTCAGCCAGGCTGGCCCAGCAACGGGAAGCTGAGAGGCACCCACGTTTGGTGCCTACTGGCCCAGCACACCGAGAGCCCTCACCAGTTCGTTACGACAATCTGTCGCGCCACATTGTGGCCTCCCTCCAGGAACGAGAGAAGTTGCTGCGCCAGTCACCCCCACTCCCAGGCCGTGAGGAAGAACCAGGCTTGGGGGACTCAGGCATTCAGTCAACACCAGGCTCAGGCCATGCCCCTCGTACAAGTTCCTCCTCAGACGATTCAAAGAGATCACCTTTGGGCAAGACTCCACTGGGACGCCCAGCTGCCCCCCGTTTTGGCAAGCCAGATGCGCTAAGGGGCCGGGGAGTAGGGTCCCCTGAACCAGGCCCAACGGCTCCATACCTGGGCCGATCGATGTCATACAGCAGCCAAAAAGCCCATCCTGGTGTCTCTGAGACAGAAGAAGTGGC